TCAGTCAGGAGTCCGAGACAGGATTCCAGAGTCCTCAGGCCAGCCTGGGCTGTGTGAGATGCTGTCAAAAAAGGAAAGCATCTGGGTGTGGTGGCACATGCATTTAATCCCAGCACTTGGGGGGTGGAAGCAGATGGGATATCTCTGAGTTCCAGGACAGCAAGAGCTATGTAGAGAGACCCTTTCTCAAACAAAACAAAACAAAACCAAGAAACCCAAAGCCTCACCCATTGTGTGACTTCATACCTCCCACTTGAGCTCCCTCTACCTGGTTTCCTTTAGGAGAAGTGAATGTGAATTCAGAAAGGCTGGGGAGTCAGACCCGGCTGCATCCTGGCACAAGAGGAATCTGAGGAGGACGGTCCCTCCAGTCATTCTACATTTATAAGAGTCAGAGTGACAGGAAGTGACATGGCAGTAAGGATAGGCTGACCTTTTCTAACTTGTCTCCCCAAACAGCCACCAACGGCCCTCCAGTGCTGGTGAAGAAAGAGAAGGAAATGATGGGGGCGCTGGTGTCAGACGGGCTGGATCGGAAGGAGCCCCGAGCAGGGGAGGTGATCTGTATAGACGACTGACTGGGTCTCAGGCCTGCCCTTCACCTAGGCCCCGGCCCCGGAGCCGACCCACATCTCAGGCCTTGGGGCCTGCTGCCAACCCTCCACCTTCCCCACCCCTTGGGCCATCGCTGGGCTAGGAGCCCTTTGCCCCTCTATAACTACTCCCTTCAAGAAGGACCCCTATCTCTCTCCACCTCCACACACCTTTCCCACCAAACCTTGAAGACTGTGCTGGTGTGAAGAGGTCTGGGTGGGAGATGGGTAGCAGGGTCTTCCAAGTACCCTTACTCCCCACCCACCAAATACACAGCTTCCCACTAAATGATTGTCGGGAGGGAAGAGGTGGCACCTCCCCAGTCCTTTCCTGCAGTATCACTTCTGCCTCCTGTGAAAGTGGGGGATTAGCCTTGCCTGGCCCTTAGGAACTTTGTGAGAAGAAGAGCAACAGAGGAGGGGACTTCATTACAGAGGGATGAAAATAGCGCCGGGAGAAAGAAGGGAAGAGGAGGGGCTGCCTCTTCCACATGGAGGGTGCGGCTACAAGAGAGGGAGCTGACTGCTGTTCAGCCTCAGAATAAAGGCGCTGTTTGGTGGCTCAGTCACCTTGTGTGTACCAGCATCTTGCGTTAGGAACCTTTCTCCTCCCTAGGGACCAAGGACCACGGACCAACCCCCTCCAAAGAGTAACGGTTGGGTGATACTCCCCCAAGCCAAAGAGGAGCTTCCCAACCTGTTCTAGGAACCCTAGAAAGGGTGGGAGAGAATACAGAGGGCCACACATGGGGGCAGACCCCCACTCTGGGGCTCAGGTTTCTGGGGGACTTAAATCCTCCCTCCTCAAGGCCTGGATACAGACTAAATTTGAGTAGGTCAGGCCAGGCGCCTAGTCAGGAGACTACCTTGCCTGTGGGACCAGAGCAACATAGTGGATAACAGGCTAGGGAGATAAGGGCACATTCCCCTCCACGGAGGGGCCAGGGAGTGGCAGTTTGCATGGGGAACCCCCACTTCCTCCTTGCTGCCCCTTTCCCAGTCTCTTCGCTCCTACTCCTGGGCTGTCCCAATTCCCTCTTCTGTATCAGGTTATCGGTTGTACATATAAATTATACTTTCCTTTCTGTGTGCTGTCATTTTTGCCTGCGGAAGGGGAATTCTTGTATGGAGGGAAAGTAAGATTATTGCTTTGTAATGTTTCATCTTAAATAACCCCCCCCCTTTTTAATTTGGATTTTGAGACAGGGTTTCTCTCTAGCCCTGGCTGTCCTGAAGGCTGGCTTTGATCTCTTGAACCATTCAAGAATCAAAGGAGCAGCCATACACCCCCATTGCCACTGGCAGAGTCCCTCTGTGTATCCCTGGCTGTCCTGGAACTCATTTTGTAGACCTGGCTGGAACTCAGATCCACCTGCCTCTGCCTCCTGAGTGTGGAAGACCTTTCCCCAATACCAACCACATCACGAGCTCAATGTAGAGCTGGTGGGCAGCAAGATCCCTGAGGCCACAATGGTAAGTGGCAAGCAGAGAGGGAGCAGGCTTCCTGACAAATGGGAGGAAGAGGTGCCTAACACTGAAACTGGTTTCCACCTCCAAGTCACTGCTTCCCCATAGAGTCAGTAGAGGTCACCACCGCTCCACAGGTTCAATTCCACTGTGAAGCAGAAAGGTTCAGGTCAGTTTGGTGTTACCTGTGAAGGATTTAAACTGCGGGACAATACTTTGAATTATTCAGCAAGAGCCTTCCACAGGTTGAGTAAGCACAGATACTTTATTCTTGAAACTATTTCAATAAAAATGGGTAAATTCAGCAAACTTTTTTTTAGTACATATTATACATTAACACTGCTGTTGGCTCTGGAGATAGTCATTTGGCATTTACACTCTGGAAACACTCAAAACATAAAACATTAGAAGATAAATGTAGCATTCACTCTGACAGCACACATACAGAAATGTGACAAAAAGGCCCATCACAGCAGATGTGCGCTGGCCTCCAAAAGGGAACACTGAAGCTGACATCAAGAACAGTCAAATAACAAGACATTTCTAAAACAGGTTTATACTCTACAATTAGATACATTATTATTTGTCAGTAAAAAGCTCTTAAGACCTCTGAAAACCGAGGCCTATTGTAAATTCACATTTTTAGCTCAGAGAAAAAGTTTCCTTCCACAATAGAATGCCACTTCAGAACTTTAAGGCAGTGTGTCATAGTGTCTTCAATGTCCCACCCACAGATGATGATGACATCCCGGAGTGACGAAGATCTAAACCAGTGCTTCTTATCTTACATACACATAGATCACCTGGGATTCTGAAAATGGAGTCAGGGAATGTGGACTGAGGTCCTGAAATTCTGCACTTCTAGCAAGCTGTGAGACCAACACTGCTGGTCTTGATTTTAAGTCTATGGTAAGATATTTACAGGACTTTAAAATAGAACTAATCACATAAAATAAGCAATGTCCCATCATGGGACACAAACTTAAAATTATGTGAGCATCTTATTTTTTTCAATATTGCTACAGAGTCTGTAAAGATAACAGATAAGGTTAAATTCTGATTCCTTTATCAAATGGCTCACCCATCCTTGATAAGCCTTAATTAAGGCCTCGTATAAACACTCCTTGGACATTTTCATACCTGCCTTATCAAGCTGAAGCAAGGCTTCCAATCATAATCAGGGTGGCAACTCAGTAATTTCTGGAACAAGGAACCAAGAGTGGGAGGATGGTATGCCAGCATACACACATAACCAGATACGCGAGACTGGCATGATAATTAGCTTATCCCCGTCCTGTCTTTGTTGTTGTTGTTAAGTAAACATTTCCAACCACCGACCACTGCTAAAATGGGATCGTACACCACAGCCTCCCTGAACAAACGCCAAAGCTATAGCTTTTGTATGTTTTCTTCCCACATTATGATAAGCTTTGTATTTTATCCTTCGGCCACTTCGATCCTTGAATACAATGTAAAGCCGGCACAGTCTAGGAGCCTCCGCCGCTCAAAATTCACGCCACCTAGGGTACTTTCTGTTCAACTCCATCACGAACGTACCAATTCCAGCATCAGAGGGGGTAGTCTTGATATCAACCCTTTATATGAGAGCATGCCCGAAGATGCAACTTCCACTTGCCTTCTGTCACAGCTCCCAGGCTCTTCGGTTACAGCGTGCAACGGGTCATGTGGGCAATGTCCTTGACCTCTGGACAGTAGAGCACTACAGGAAAGAAGAAGGGTTAGTGGCAAAAGGAGGATGCAACCTGACCCAGCATTCTTCGGCGCTCTGTGCCCAGCATCCTCCCTAAGCGGCCCCTCACCATTGCTAGGCAACGGACGCCGCAAGCGGCGCGCTGGCGCCAGGACCCTGTCCACGATCCGGCGAAGCGCGCGCCAACCCGCACTTGTAGGTCCCGCCCCCTTCGCGCTCTCGTCTTCCCCATCGTCGTTGTCCTCTCCGTTGTCTCCGCTTTTCTTAGCCGGGCTCCCCATCGGGTCTCGTTCCCATTCAGCCCGCGCTTTTTCCTCCAGCCGTGACCACAAGTCGGGGTCTAGCGCGATCTCCGAGACGCCGCCGCGCGGGAGCGGGGAAGGCGCGCGGCAGAACGGGCACGTG